ATCACCCACACCCCTCTCAGAAGTCAACTTTCCATCCCCAAGAAAGCCAGATTGTATTTTTCAGCTCCCAACTATACTTTTTAAAATGTGATTTACAGTATCAGCTGGGACACTATCCCTTTTAACCCTGACCTATTGATAACCCAACTACATCTTTTTCATGCCCAAATTCAGACATGAGGTTGAGTTTTACCTGCATTTTTAGCTCTAGCATTCCATTTACATGTAATTGATGTACATGATGTGGTTTTAAGTGTAACTGTACAGTAAGTGAATGTGTTGTATCCCAGAGATAGAAAAGATGAAGAGGACAGCAGCTCTGTATGGATGAAGTTCTATTCTCAGTTACACTCCTCTAAATTGGCTATATTTGTGTTCGCAGCATCGGAGGCTCGTGCAGGGAAATTTCATTAAAAATAAATTTGTTATTTACATTTGAAAAGATTCTGTGCATTAGCCCCAGTTGCAAGCTTGTTCCCATCCAGTTTGCTGAGAATACAAATATGGTGCATTGAAGCAGGTTTGACTGGGTTAATTTTACTTTTTGTCTTCAGCTTTTGTTTGGTTTTGTGAGCTTTCTGTTTCCCAAGCTACCTGATGGTCTCCGTGCAGTGTATCTGAAAGTTCATGTTTTCTTTGGAGTGTTTATCTTCATGTTGGCTATTGGCACCTGTCTCATGGGGATCACTGAGAAACTTTTCTTTATGAAAACGTAAGTAATACCAGTTGTTAATAGAAGAAATTTCATGTGAGTGTTGAATTAAGTAGTTTGCGTTTGCTTTGATTTTGCTTGACCACAGTGATTGGCTTAATGATTAATCAGATCATTTGTACCTTAAAGGCATCAGCCAAAGTTGAAGTGAACATTGGTGAATGTTCACCAAATGTTCACTGAGCCTGAGACAAATGTTTTAGTATAATTTCCAGAGGTGAATATGAAGAACTACAAAATAATGGACTAGATGGTAAAAATGCAGATGCAAATTGTTCGTTTGCAGCCATAGTTCAATAATAAAAGCTTACATGCACATCAATATTATTGTGAATCAATTTACACGTTGAGTTTGGTAATAAAACAAACAGGTGGAACACTACAAAAAATAAATTCATCTGGTACCTTTGTTTTATCGTTGTTGACTTCATTCACAGTTGTCATCATCATTTAAAAATGAGATAGCTTTAGTTTGAAGAAAAATAAATTTTGGTCAATCAATCCGACCTGCTGGTGATCAACGTGACCACTGTGTTACGATTCTTAAATGCTTTGAGTACAAATTCTTGGAAAAAATGTTTGGTCCAAGGGTGACAGCAGTAATTTTGAAAATTCTCTATCCTTTCAAATATCCTGGACTTGGAGTGATGTCTTTCAAATAAATGAGAATTCCATTCAGCAACTGTCTGCCATGTTTACCTGCCAAGATGGCAAAGGGGCAAGCTTAGCTTACATAGTAATCAAGCTCAGAAATGTTATATTTACTGCCTAGCACAGTGAATATAGAGTTATAAGCCATGCTTTTCAACCAGTCAGAATGTCCAATTATTATATTCACCTCTGGAAATTATACTAAATGTGTATGCAAATCTCTTTCTACATGTAACTGAAATAAAATCTTCTTTTTAATTTGCAGCCCCGCTTATTCAACATTACCAGCTCAAGCTCAACTGGGGAATGTTTTGGGCCTGTTACTCGTTGTTCTAGCTGGCTTTGTTTTGTTTGTGGTGACAAATGCCGCGTTCAGAAGGGTCGATTCGGAAGAGGAGCATGTGTCTTTGATAAATGAAAAAGAATAATGAAGCTAATTTAGTGTTAATTTATCAGCAGATGCATTCTGAAATTATTTCAGAAACTTGGTTGTGAGATTGCTTCTGATATTATTTAACTTAAATGCAGGAAGGGTCATGAGACACATTTGCCCTGTGAGAGTGTATATTTAGTGTTAAAGGTCCATAAAGCCAGGTCTATGCGGGCAATTTTTATGTGACAAATTGATTTGATGGTGTAGATGGTATGGCAAATATTTGTCAACAGTTCAAGTTTAGGGCATCAGTAATGGCTTTGGACAGCTGAGATATGCAGAAACAAGGCGGGGCTGCTCATTTGCCTCCAAGTCACACCCCCCCAAAAATTGGGGCCTACAAACATATTTGCTACGTTTTATGTGAGGAGTCATGTTACACAAGCAACTTTCCATCTGTGACAACTTTTATTTGTCACATAAAAGCTAACATGCCAGCTTTTCAGCAATAATTATATTTATCACATAAAAATTGGCTAAATTTGCTTGTCTACCTGAGCAAATACAAATTTCACACAATTGTCACACATGAATTGAATTGAATTGAATTGCCTCACATATGAATTATCATATCTCAGTGAAGTAGTTACTGGACGGGTAATAATATTACATGTATGTCAAACAACCCAGTGGGAATACTGAAAGGAGGTGCAAAGAACTTTTTGAGGGTAGGGAGGGGGAAAGTCTTTTAAATGGCAAAGTTGGAGAATCATGAAATTCCATTCAGGGGTTTCATAAATGTTTTCAGCAGGAGATCAACTGATTTTCACAGGCGGTAAAATCATTTTGAAATGAACTTTTTTATAAGAAAAACCTTTCACTAGATGGTCAAACCAGGCGGGCAAAATCATCCTCACAGCTGATCAATTTGCCTGGTGCCTGTGGCCTGTTTCTTGAAAGCCCTGGAAGCTTTTCGGGCCTGTAAAGCCATTTTTAGTCCATCTGTATCTAAAAACGGAGAAGTGTATACACCTGAAACTTCTTGTAGTGAAGGGAATGTCTGTTCATATTAAGAATATGTGAATAAAACAGCTCAGTGTAATTGTAAGGTTCAAGATTTTGCTACGGCTCTCTGGGCCCGAAAAACTTCTGGGGATTTCAAGAAATGTGCCCCTGGCCTTGAATGAAAGCTCTGTTCATTTGGCTGTTATTTTTCAGAGTTGGGGTCAGGTTTACAAAGTTGTACTCAAAATGGATATTTTAGGGGTTTCAGTTGAGTATGTGAGTTACCCAGTCTTCCTTACATGTCTTTGCACGCTAAGATGGGGTCCAGTCACCTCAAGACACCTTATAATGGTAGTGCCCAGTCCCCCAGAATCAGGTAGTTCCCAGTTCATTCCAGACTTGCCAGCACGCTTAGGTGACTAGTGTCTGGCTTGAACCTATTTATTAGTAAATTCTATGATTAGAATTATCCAATCTCCACATTTATTTACCATTAACATTACATTCATCAAAATGAATCTGCATTGCCTTTGTAAGTGTAGCTGCTCAGAAATATTAAATTATTTTTTTAACCAAGTTCATGTATTATTATGCACAGAAGTATATATATATTGTAATTATGCTTCTGTAATGCAGTATCAATGAAGTAGTTATTCCTTAATGTATTAATGTAATAAAAATTCATCATTGTCATTAATACATTAATGTCTGGGCTAGAAGGTGGTAAATGCTCGGTCACTAGCACCCTTTGAAAATGGACTAGCCAGTAGAAGTTAGGTTTCATGGCCAGATATGCAAACTTTGACACTTTGGAGTTGCAATGTGATGCCATGCATGAAGTAGAAATAAAGATAGAATAATGAGTATATTTGATCAACTTTCCTTTCTTTCCTCATTCAACCTTAATACTGTGTCAGGAGTAGCCTGTAAAGGAATGGAGTCTTTTTCCTCTCCTACAACCTTTTCCCGTCCTCTTCCCCATTTACATGGGATGGCCAGGGTGCCCGATACAAAAATGTCGGGGGTGCTCGTTGTTCCTTTTATGGGTTAAAAACGCGGTTTTGGTACTTCTTGGGGTTTTTAGCCTTGAAAGGTCAACAGTGGGAGATTTTGTGGTACCTTTTAAGGTATTGAGCTGAAAAAATATGACAGGAGATAATGTGTCATGCAAGAATTGGTTCCTCTTGGGGAGAAAACAATTTCAAGCCACACCCATAAAACAGGAACTATCCGCGGGCATGTTACAATTGTAATTTTAATTTGAGAACAAATAAAATTGTATGTATGTATGTATGTATGTATGTATGTATGTATGTATGTATGTATGTATGTATGTATGTATGTATGTATGTATGTATGTATGTATGTATGTAAAAGGAACTTGGTATCTTTTCGAAATTTCCGATGAGCAACCCCATCTTTTTTATATGGGAGTCCCCACCCTCTCCCCTGTCCCGGATGGGGTACCCGCTTTGCAGGCTACGTCAAGAGCACACGTCTCCTATTTTCCTGCCAGTCTTTTGGCAACCTTCCAACCCTAACGTTTTGCCAATTGCCTGGAGACTCCCAGCTTTTTGTCTTTTCTCACTAAGTCATCACAAAGTGGACTTGAAAAAGTCTAGATGTCTTCCTGGAAAACACTTGGACAGGTATAAAGCCTCTAAGAGCTTGTTTCAATGTAGTAAAATCTGCGATGGCTACACTGCTGACCCAATGTCACGATTCCTTGCTCTCTGACATGACTGAGTGAATCCAGCTCTTCTTACAGTTTCAGTGCTTTAGGGATTCCTTGATGGTTAGATCCTGCTGTCTTCCTCAAAATGCACTTTCCCAGAGACGACCGTCTGACGGAAGGTCAAATAAATCTGGGTAGTGGATGGTTGCAATCGCGTGACCATTTGCTGTGCTGTTCTTACCGGCTGTTTTCGCAGGCTTGATGAGCACCCGGTGTTCTTGCTTCAATCAAAGGCGTAAAATCGCTTTTGACGACAGCAAATTCGACGGAGTACTTTTTCCGACCTTTCGCCGGCTCAACGAGTCTGGTCGTTCCGATAGGCTTTACTCAAAAAGATTTCGTGAACGTTTTGATTTCGTGACGTGTTTTGCAGGGATCTGACAGTTGACCTTTTGCAACGCATCTTGGGATGAATTTATTTCGTGAATCTGATAGCGAGGGTCAGCTTCATGGTCCATCATGTAACAAGTTTTGTTGTCTGCTGTCGGTAGAATCTGTTTTTTTTTAAATCTAACTCTGAGTCATGGTTAGCATATTTCAATCAGAGTCACGTGAAGTGAAAAGTATTAAATATCATGGTTCTCCTTTTCCGGTCCTTGATCGCTTTGTGCCAAAGATGTACCGAGCGGGAGTGGGTAGGTAGTTTTCTTGTACAAGTAAAAGAAAGAAAATTGTTGGGAAGAATGTGCCGGTGCCATAGTAGATAAGAGTCCAGCAGAAAGTTCAAATTTGGAATCTAACTCATTCTAAATAAGTAAAATTCGAACTACATCGAGAGAAAAATAACGAGGATTGAGCTTACCAATTACCGAGCCCTCCCCGTATGGGATAGGTTTGATTGGAACGACCCGCAGCTCCCTCGCAGCGCCGACAGTTCTACTTCAGATCTGCTGAAATTCCGTTGAATTTGATATCTAAGGAAATCTTATTGCTTCCATATAAGCTATTAGCCTCAAAGTATTTTGGCCATGGCAATTTCCCATCTGGATCGAGAGACAGCTTCACCGGTTTTGTTCATCGTAAGTGTGCTCGCCATTCAAATTCTCGGTATTGCGGCGATGGTGTTGACTGGCACATGGATGAAGCATTATTTGGGTGGATTCGCTTGGGACGGCACAGGCCTCGAGTTTGATTACCATCCTCTCTGTATGGTGATAAGTCTGGTATTTCTGTACAGCGAAGGTAAGCGTTTTACTTCTTTCCCAATGTTCCAGTACAACATGCAAATTGAATGTACGCCGTGACTGCTATGGCAGTCACGGCCCGCTTCATACGCCTGTTTATGAGCCGAAACAGGTATCGTGAATTATCTTACAGCGTCCGAATCAATCAAGCAGATCAAGAACTGCAGTTACTTTGGTTTTGAACGCCGGTGAACGGCTCAGTCGTTCGCGTTCTTCCCGGTTAAATATTTTCCACTTTGGCCTTAATCCAGACATGTGCTTTTCATTGGGAAATGTTGGTAGGGGGATATTGGACGCGTTTTGGTGTTTTTGTACTCCTGGCATTACGCTTTTTAGGGTCGAGAAGAGGCAAAATCAGCGATCTTTCGGTTTTCGATATTTCTACGATGGCATCTCTGCTTTCGAAAATTTTGATTTGCAGAAGCTAAACCTTGTAAATGACTAGATCGATTAGGTTAATTAAGTCCAACTGTCTGATTTCAATGTCTCAGTCTGATTCCACTTGTTTGCATTTGATACTGGGTCAATATCTGGTAGAGAGAAATATTTTTTGGTTTCAACGAAGTGGATCGAACGGCAACTCGTCGAGATTTTTATGGGTCGACCGGTAATGCTCCCGCAGCAGGGCGGATTGCTCACGGCATCTAAGCAGTCACGTGTATGCACATAGCAGGGAAGATTCGATGAACGGTATATCAGGTAGCCTGCGAACGCAGACGTATTTCCGGCTGTCACTTGATTCCGCCGAAAAATAACGTCTCCGAACCCGAGCCAGGGAACGATTTCTGTGACGTAATGACTTTTGTTTCTCCTTGGCCAATCAGATTCCATGATAGAATGAAACTCGAGTGCTCCTCGAAGCGAACACCTCGCGCAGTAGTTCTGGTGTTATTTGGGCTAAACTGTGATTGGCTTAGAATTCCTACGTCACAGAAATCGTTTTTTGGCTCGGGTAGATAGCCTTCAGTTCGTTGCAAATTCCGTCTCATGAACGTCGAGGCCGCTGAAAAGATATCTCCTGCATCATCTTCTGAATTAATCAAACTTTCTTCCTCTATAGAGACTTCTAACATTTCGCACAAAAACAACATCTGATGGGCCACATTAGCCTCCATTTTGAATATTCGCGGGAGAGTCAGAGAAGCGACAGAGCGGGGCCTATGAACGAATTATTAATTAATTAAATGGGACTTGTGACAAATGGAACGCGCTTTTCCCAAACGGAAATTCCCAACAGAAATTTTCCGAATTTTTTTGTAAACGGAAAATGCCCCTTGTTTTACATCTCTGCGTGTTGTTTTACTTGTCAATTCTAAAACAACACATTATCTCTTGGTTTTTTTTTCGGCTCAATACTCTAAAAGGTACAGCAAAAGCTCCCGGTGTTGACCTTTTGAGGCTGAGCACCCTAAGAGGTGCCAATACCGCTTTTTTAACCCCTACTGAAAAGGTATGACGAACACCGCCGTCCCTTTTTATATGGGATCCCCCCCCTCCTCCGGGGGTTCAACTGTACATTTGCCGCTGGCTAGCTGTAGGTAGTAAAGCGCCGTAGGAGTCTAGCCGACATGATCCGTGTCGGTGATCTCAGACAGCTGCGACCTAAGTGGATTAAACTGATCGTAAGTCCGGCCTGGAGACCATGCAGTGTTTCCCCGCAATCGCGCCCCATTTCCTTTAAAGACCCAGCTGAGATATAGACATGTGTTATGAATGTGTCAGAGCTGCTGATTTCATGGCAAGTTTAACCTCTTTGGGCTTTTAGCAAAATGGTATGTTCTTACACGTAAGTTTTAACTGCACTACATAAAATTCATAGTTGAAACTTTTTTACTCCAAC